TACTCTATTGATGTTAATGTAATTCGAACATCCGAACAGTTAGCAAAGTATCCTTTTTTTTTCCTCTCATGCGCTATGGAAAAACTATATCACCTCTCTGAAGATGATCTGAGACTCGCCGTTATAGAGATGGTAGTTAGGTATCTGAATTACCTCAGACGTAGGAAACTCTCTCAGCTTTTGGATAAAATCTTATTATTATCTATAATAATGGATTGATGGACCTGCCGTTGATGAGTTTGCTATTCCTCTTTCAGTCACTCCCAATACCTGGAAAACAATGCGCCGAAAAAGAAATTGCTCATCCTTTTTATACATGAGAGGGTTGGGGGGAAGATGTCAAAAGAATCTATTCATATATTTATACATACTTTTGTCTATTTGCCCCTAAATAGGGGAAATAGTTGGCCGTGATGTGGGCATTACTCCTCTCACAGCCTTCAGAGAAAAAACTGAAAAAGAGCAAATCACAGATTATTAGGCAACAGACCCGAGCTCGGAGAAACTGCTCTCAGCTTTCAGCGTACAAGGAAAAAGATAAGGTAAAACATTAGTTCAAAAATAAGATAACGAGACTTTAAGTTGGCTGAGCACAAGGAAACTCTGCTCTGCTGTCAGAGAAAATAATAGAACTAAAATCATAGATAACATATTGGATCAAAAATAAAATATCGAGATGTTAAGTTGGCTGAGCCAACGACTTCATATAACAGGTAGACGGCTCACCCACAGAGAATTCGTCTGCTAGGATGTCTCAACATATACCACGTGACTTAAGCTCTTGGCGCTCTTGGGGAGTGATAGCTTAGGCTGTTTATCCCCAGTTTGGCGCGCTTCTGATATGGCTAGTAGTGCTTTTTATTTCCGTTTGCTGGCAGTCGGCAGACAACGGTCTCGAATTAGGTTATTCGATTTTTTACAATTATTTTTAGATATAACTTAACCCTTTTTTTCCTGAATATTTTATCTATACCTTTTAATAATCGCTTTAAATTATTTGCGCCATTATTTAAGATGTTTAGGTTAAATAATTTTGGGAAGAAAATCTAAAATAAATAATAAAAAATTGAGAGGAAACTTTAATTTTTAATAATGTTTAAAAATTAATTGCACTACTGTTATCATATTTGAGAAGGTAAAAAAATCTCGTTTATTTTTAATGCATTGCATCCTAAAGAGAAAAGAAAATCACATTGTATGTATTTATGCTATTCATGAAATATATACTTACAGACTGTTAACTTTCAGCTGGAACTATAAACTATTACTATCCAAAGTTATAATATAGTTTATGATACAAAAAGATAAATTATACTGAAATCTTATTACAGAAAAATATTTTATTTTCTTATATTTAAGTAAACATAATTTTACTTAATTTAAAGTCAGAAATAGTTTTCGGAACAATTTCATTTACCTTTGACCTTTCAGTGTTACCAATAGTACTTGCATTTTGGAAATTTACGATAGTAAATAAAATGGATAGTTTTAAAAAAATCTTTCACTGATTTTAAATGCCCATTTTTTTAAATTTTTTTTCAGTTACTTGCAAACTTGGAAGCTACTGCCTTAACTGTATGCTGCTATACATTAAATTTAGTAAGAATTCATATTTTGCACATCAGCTGTAAAATGTACATTTCCAAAATAAAATTTTATTACAGAATTATAAATTCAAACATGACAATACATATTATATTTTATTCCTCTATCCCAATTAAATAAACAGATTACGAAAATGTGCATTTAAATATAGTATTTACTATAAATATATCGGGAACAAATACCAAAAATCACCTACTCAAACTGGTAGTCAAGTATATTCCAAATTTCCTATTTTTGATATGTGAATAAGTAATGAGCTTTTTAAAACAAAAACACACAATTTGGCTGAAATATAGAAACTACACATTATTATATACTACATGAAGAACTTTATGAAATACAATACCCTATATAAGGCTCTGATATGAGAAATTTGACTTTTTTTTTTTGAGATAATATAAATTTTTTAAAAAAAAGTTAGCTTGTAAAACCATGGAAATCTTTATAGATATATAAAGAATGTGATATTTACTTTTAAAAAATCAATACATAAAACAGTGCAAATAAAATACAAACTACAAATTAAAAATACATGCTTTTATTTTAACAAATACAGGGCTTTAATAAAACTGACTGTTTCACAGAAAAGAAAAAAAAAAAAAAAAAAAAAAAAAAAAGCTTTTATGAATAGAAAGTAAAAACTAGTAAAGATATAATGATGAAAGCCTCATTCAAACCTACAAAAGTTCACTCAGATAGATATAGTTTTGATGGTTTTTTTTTTTTTTTTTTTTTTTTTGACAAACTATATATATATATACTGTTTTGTATGCAACAAAAAGTTAAGGCCTGTTTTCAAGAATTTTTTTTTTTTTAAATTTAATTCCTACTAAATATCTTAATACACACGTAATCCTCATTTTAAATTAAAGAAAATTCTATAGTTATGATATATTTATGTTGCTAAAAAACAGTTTTAAAGGAAAAGGTTTTTAAAAAATCTTAAATTAAACAAATATTACTATGAAAGCAAAAACTCTGCAATCAAATATTGAAGTGATTAATTTATAAATAGGTGGCACTTTTAAGTATACGCAATCTGTTGACATTAACGAGTTTAATTAACGTTAACGAGTTACCATTTTATTCCTTATAATGTTTGGTAAGTTCGAATTCACGGCCACTTTATTCCTGCTTTACCAGATCATTCTTATACATTAGCTAAATTAAAAAAATTTAGGATTTATTCATGCATTATTAGCTAAGATATACTAGTATACAAATTTTCAGCTCATTTATAGATTTTGAATTAGCTTTTCTTTTTTTTTTAACAAAGTAAACATATCGCACAATCTTATCTCAATTTAATAATAATAGCATTTTTCTTTCTTTCTTTCTTTTTTTTTTTTTAATTGCAGGCAGTACTTGTTTATGAAACCCAAAACGCGTACGATTTGGCGAAAAAAAAGGTTAGCGCCAATTGGCGCAGCTTTTTATTTCAACGGAGTACACGGAAAAAGAACATAAAATGCAATTATTTGTAAAAGGTGATTCCAGTAAATAATGTTAGAGTATTTATTACATTTTGATGCTATTAATACATGCTGAAAATGTCATATACAGCGGCAATTTTCTTATACAATATGGCTGAAACTTTCCAACCAATTCAACAGAGATAGTAAAATGACAAAAATACTGGAAGTAAAATAATAAATCATGCAGTTTTAACTTAGCTATGAAAGGTTACAGGTCCCCCTTTTACAAAACTTTCTTTACATCCATAGGCGCTGCAGCGGATAACCATTTTTTATTAAATTTTATGTGACCAAGCAGAGCAGGCGTCTTTCGTCCCATAGAAATGAATGTAAAGTATTTCCGGACTTTCGGAATTCGACCAGCAGTCACGTAACACTAATGTTGGAACCAGTCGGAGGTTGCTATAAGCTCTCTACCAGTATATATCTCGTTGATGGACACCGAGTTTGTGCAATTCTTTGATTTGTTTTCGAGCGAATACGGATCGTTGTGTACGAGGGAAAACGAGATAGTGTGTGATGCTGAGCTGTAATGTAACGTTTTTTTATATTGTTACGAAATGTACAGGCGCGGTAAGACGGCTTCTCCGCAAAGCAGTTTTAGGGTTGCCATAAAATGTCAAGGAACAGCAGTGTTGGCACATTTGGCGAGAACCTTCTGGATCGTGGACGGATGGAGAACCTTCTGGATCGAAGTATATATCTCGTTGGGCTGAGCTTGCGGAAAACCTCTCAGCCTTAGAGAAAATTTGAAAGATCAAATCGGAGCTAAGGTAATAGTTAAATCAGAGATCAGATAACAAGACGTGGGGCTGGCTAAACTCGGGGAAACTCTTTTCACTCCTCAGAACAAATCTTATAAGAGTAACCTTTCTTTTTGTTCATTAAGAATAATGAACGATAATGATACTCCCTTCTTTGAAGTTGTATCAAACGCTGATATCTCATTTCTAAGAATTCCATTTCGTAGAATGGGATACTAAGGTTTGACACAACTTCAACATAGAAAAATATCGTTATCGTTCATTAAGAATGTCGTCTCCGCAAGATGGCATTCGCAATGAACAAAAGTGAAGATGGATTTTATTTTTCTCGTCTGAGATTTTCTCTGAGGACTGAAAGAAGTTTCCCGGAGCTCGGCAGCAACCTGCTCATTATTTTATATTTGATCTAAATTGTTATGTAATCTTTCATCTCATCTTTTTCTTGTTTCGCTGAGAGCTGAAAAGACTTTGCATGAACTCATTTAGGCCAAATTCATACACAAAAATATATATAAATAGATGAGTGGATACATGTGAGAAAAATATCAATCTCAGTATATATTTATAATATATATGTTATGTTATAAATAGATAAGATATAAGTTCCTCTTAATCAGAGGGAAATCTTTAAATAGAGGGGAGGGGAAAAGATATAACTGAGATTGGAGCCAAGATAGATTCAAAAGAGGGGAAGAAATACGTATTATAACAAATTTCTAAAAATCAGAGAAAGGAAGGTTAGGGACAAACGAATGAATTTGTTAAGAGGATCGAGTGGAGGAGGTTCGTGATAAAATTTAAAAGGAAATACTTACTTGATTGAATACAAGAATATTTTCTTTTGAATGCACTCTTATATTTGGTCAAAACACGTAAAATCATCAAATCAAAGGTGATCATTACTTCCGTAGAATATAACCTTAAAGAGTATAAAAACATTATAAATTAATTTTAAATCATAGAAAAACGGATAAAAGAAAAGTAAGATTAGCGAAATTTCGTCTGTATCTTTTAATATGATCAGATCACAATGGTCTAAAAAAGAGTAGGATCTGATAGATGCCGTAGTGTTTAAGCACTTGCCGACCAGACTCCAACGGTGAGACCTTTAAATTCCGTAATGGCATCGCTCCCAACAGCAAGTACGAGAGTAAACAAACATGGTGACGTTCATGTGTAGTGTAATATTGACAACAAGAATGTAAATAGCTCGCGAAGTCATTATTAACCCATGGAAATTAATTCTTAAACTATGTGTTCATTTATATGCAGTTTATAGTGGAATTGAAATTGTTGGATCATGTTTATGATGTAAGTTGCGCCAAAAAAAATTCAAATGTACTACTTTTAACAACTAAAATTCAAATCTTTTAATGTAATTAATTAGTTAGTTTAAATTCCATAGCATGGTATGCGATATATTTTATTACATATGTTAAAAGATTTGTGTCTATTGAAAATTGAAATTCTCACTTTTACACCGATCCATGTATAAAAATTTGGTTATTATTATTATTATTTTTGTTGTCTGGTCTGGTCTGCACGGTTATTGCCGAAATATCGCGCATATGCGCGATTTGTCCGGCTCGTGAAAATAAAGCCCAGTGGGCATATGACATTAGACTTCATGATAGTTTGATAAGGTCCGAAGTGAATTTGCCTCTTATTAAGTTTCTTTATATATATACCCAAATTTTTTTTTGTGTTAAGAGCAATTATAGTTTAAGGATAGTTCATCTTTCTCCGTGTGTGTTTTATTTTCAAGTAGTGTGCAGACAAGTTACCTAACCATTTAACTGAGTGTCATATTTAGAATATACTCATGAGAATATTTCTGTGGCCGTTAAGGATTAAACTTAGTATAATTTCAATGAAGAAGTATGTTAGATAAATAATAATTCATCAAACATTTTGAAAGCTAACTTTGCTTGCTTCAGCAAAAGTATGATTTACTGAAATAAGAATAAATATTTGTGTTCATTTCCAAGGAAAGGAATCTCTTCTAGATTTAATTGAAAATGAACTATTTCTATCATCATGAACGTACATTGAGTTTACTAATGTGTTGAAATTAAATGTTGCAACATAGAATTTTTCACAGTTTATAATGTTTTTCAGTTGAAAACGTAGTAAGAGTTAGTTATACAAGTTTCCATTTAAAAATGTTTGCTGCTATGTAAGTGATAAAACTGACTGCTAATTAGTGATAAAATTGCATAAATATTGCAGTACATTTTTAATAGCCTGTTTGCTGAACTAAGACTATTTTAACTAAGAATATATTGCTAAGATTATTTTAGTTAACATTTTGCTAATTCAGTGAAAATCAGGCTCTGTTCTAGAACTGGTTGTGCTAAGCTTTGCATCATCCTGAGTAGATAAGTTATAGGTAGTGATAGGTGAGTTTGTCATATATGTATAATAAAAGTATAGTAATGCAGATAAAATTTTTTTCTCAGTTTATTTTAAAGACATCTATTTGCATATTTATTGTTACATATAAATATTTATGAAAACAATGGGCTACGATATATATTCAAGTCATTTCTTATGACCCTAATTAACCTGAAACCACATACTTCATTTGTAATCGTAACTACAACAATGTAAGCTTCATATTTTTAAGTGGAGCCTTATTTCACCCTATTCTAGGAATTAAGTCAGCTGCTGTTCATTTTATTATAGTTTTCAATATTTTAAGTATATTTTTTTGGGCTTGCACATACTATAGAACCATACTATCAAAGCTGTCATCACTGGCCATATGTAGCAATGGAAAATTAAAATGTAACTGCTGAGACAAGGCATTTAATTTTTAATGAATTATATGTATCAAAAATACAATTTTTTTATTATTATACAAATCAGAATTTATGTTTTAAAGTTACATCTTTTTTACACTAATCTCTCTCCACCACCCAGTTCATTTCTGCATGATGTTTTACCTTCATTGGTTAATCTTTGGATAATGGTAACTTGGCGAAAATTTGGCGACCAACTCTGCTACAGCAACCCTCTATTTTTTTTTTTTTCCTGCGCTATTTTGCCTTCATGAAGTAAAGACATGTTTCTTTTCTTTTTATTTACTGAACACTTTTCCCAACAATCTACTAGCCAAATTACACTTATACTAGAAATTTTATCTAACAAAACTGCTTAATCATGACAAATATTCACTGCAAAATTGGGAAAAAGTGCACAATCGCAAACTCCTTGCACGTTTTTCACAATAACACATACCACATAAACCATGTACACGTCGACTTATTATTTTTACTTAAAAAAACATCCCAGAATTGCACAAAAATGGAATTGCGCACACTCTTCACTATATCCATGTACACTGCTTTTTTCTCATAAATTAGAAAAATTTCACGAAAATGCATGACAATTTTCTGAATCTTTAAACCTGGTAAAAAGAACATATATGAAATTACCTTATCGCAAAAAAAGTATATACCCTTTCCAAATATGAGCATTTCCACGTATAAAATAAATAAAATATCAAAAAACTTTTACCTCTAAATTATCTATTATATTATTTAACGTCGCCAATTAATTCATACTGCAAACATTACAAATACTTAGTGTCAAATATTTAAATTATTTCCATGCACGTTTACTTCAACTAAAACGTATACCAAATTCCTCCAAACATAAAATTCACAAAATAACTATCATTTAATTAAAATATCACTAAACACATCGACTTATTTTTAGTTAAAAAAAATCCCAGAATTGCACAAAAATGGCATTGCGCTCACTCTTCACTATACCCATGTACACTGCTTTTTTCTCATAAATTAGAAAAATTTCATGAAACTGCATGAAAATACTCAACGTATACTACTCAAACGTATTCCAAAATACTACAAATATATAACTCACAAAATCACGATCATTAAATTAAAATATAATTAAAATAAAACACTACTTAAATATAAATAAGCACATACATTAAATTAATAAAAAATTAGATTACAATCCTAATTACTTTAAACTAAATCATTGCTAAATAACAATTTTCCCAATAATACCACATTAATTTATTTACTCCTTACATTTAGAACAATGCATAAAATAATATCCTCAAATGATTAAAAATACTAACTTACCTAATCTTCTTCAGAATCTTCATTACGTCGCTGCAGTACTACTGCTAATTTCTAAATCCTAAATCCAGTAGTCAACTGGAAGTCTATTCACCAAGTAATAAGAAATTAATAAAATTTCACCTATACTCAAACTACTTTCAGCAAACCACGTACCTTTCCTTACACTCCTTTTCACAAAATGTCCATTTTCACCATATTTCTTGCACCGCCATTTAAACTTGTAATATCTTTCCTTTCCTTTTGGACATGGCAATCTCAACTTATTATTATTATCAGATAAAGGCATTAAAAATTTAGAATTCACTTTACATGGCGCCATGCAATCCAAAAATTAATAAACACTATTTCACACAACACACAATGAAGTTTTTCCAAATTAATCCCCTTTTCCGATTAAAGAACTGTAATTCGTCCATTAATGTCATGTTTCACACAACACAAAATATAGCTAAATACGAAATTTCCAGATTTTTTCCAGATTTCCCCCCTTTTCTGATTAAACAACTGTAATTCGTCCATTAATGTCACATGACATATCTCATGATCTCTCCATTTCCCTCACACAAAATAATGCGTAATCGGAACTGAGTGCTTCTCACATTATTACCAAAGTCCTAGGTAGTAACCTTTATCGCCTCGAAAATGTCGCCAAACTACCAGTTACCATATTCCAAAGATCAGCCAAAAAAAAATTGGACAGTTCTATATCTCTCATTCTACTGTGCCGATTGACAAATAGGTTTTTCATGTCTTGATAGCGCGACTTGGAATATGTATTAGATTTAAATATGGCTTTGTTCTAATATAGGTATTTTGACACAAAACTGGAATTTTTCTGAAAGGACATGGCAATTTTTTCCCATATTTCAAATCTGTGACTCAAATTATGCGAAACTACCAAATTTTGTTAAAATTGCATGAGTAGTTTTTAAAAAATTAGCTCTCAAACTTTTAGCTGCTCAATGTGAATTGAATTTGGTATATATTTATGAATCTCTCTTTTTTGATTAAACTTATTTGATTCTTCCTTTCTTATTTCAAAATTTAGGTTCATTCCAAATAAAATTCACACTTTTTTATAATTTATTTTTCAAATTTGTATTAAAAATAATTTTTATAATTTTTTTGAAGAAATTGTGATTTATAATCTATAAAATTTTTACCGTCGTCTTAAAGTTGATGTATTTCTAAGTGTACCTGCAAAAGAGTTTTTTATTCAAAATTTGTGAAGATATGCGTGAATTTATATATTGTCGCATTTTGAAATTTGCCATATATTTTGAAAGTGATAATAACCTCAAATGTAATTTAGGCACTTTGTTAAAATTATTTGAAAGTAGGAACAATGTGACTTTTTTCCTGCTCATTCACAATGTAAAAAGGGAAAGTTAAATAGGTTGCCGTGTATTAAGAAGTTTGCCAATATGTAGAAATTTCTTTGTCTTCATTCTGTGGCATACTAAATACCTTAACAGCATCGAAAAACTTTCTAAAATTATCCAACTAGAATAAGCATACTGCCGTCACCATATAAATTTACAAAAATAAGAGTAAAAAATATCCTTCGTAGTGCCGCACTGTCGGGGGCATTTCTTGTATGAACCTTTCTTCCGACAAACCCATTCAAAGCCATCTGAACGATCTTTGCATGTTTCCTTCATATGAAGAGGACACTTATAATGACTACTAAGTAAACCTTCATTTACACACCAGTCAATTAATACTTTTTTTTTTTTTTTTTTCCCTTTCGTTCCAAATCATACAGAAACTTTAAATTAAACTCATCACATACAGCCATTTTACAGTGTACAGCACAAAATAAGCAAATACTTCCTAACTGACATCCAACACAGCAAAAATAAGCACTTACAAATATTTTCCTCAATCACTCGAATTCACCTAAATCATGCAACCAATCACATCATAATAGGGTTTCCGTAACATTCAATTACTCAGATTACCATATATGAAACAACAATGTGGTGATAAATGAAACAAAGATAATACAAGGAGCACCCTATATAAATATAGACCAACCAAATGTTTTATTGCTTAGTGATGTCTCTTTAGGTGGGGCATATGTTTTCATAGTATATTTTATTATTTAATTGTGAATTTATCTAGTTTTATATTGATGTGATTTTTTTTTTTTTTTTTTTTTTTTTTTTTTTAGAATTTTGTTTTCTTTTTCCTCCCAGATAAATTGAATATTTCACAACAGTGAGCTATTATGTGGAACAAATTGTCTCAAGCTGCTGGCCTTGCATCAACTGAAGCTGAGCTTGTAAACATTCACATTTACTATTTTTGCTTTGATTATAGTTACATTTGAACTTGTGCATGATGTTTGTGATATTGCTGTTGTATGAACAGACGGCTAATCTTTAGAATATGGTAACAGGTAGTTTGGCGACATTTTGGTAAGGCAATAAATTTTACTAGCGAGGATTTTAGCAATAATCTGAGAAGTACACAGTTCGAATCACAGATTATTTTGTCTCAGAGAAATGAGAGATCACGAGACATGTAATGTGACATCTTCCGGAAAATTCCGATTGTGATTTTAGCTAATAAGCACTTAGAAACAATTTCACTGCTAAAGTGCAGAATCGCCCACTTATTTGTTTCGTGCTTTTTACAAGAGTAAGAAGAATTGGATTTTTGTCAATTTTCTTTCACTTTTTAAGTGAATATAGGTTGATGTGTACATATAAAAAGTCAAGAGCATGCGCAATGCCATTTTGTGCAATTCTGGGATTTCTTTTAAGTGAAAATAGGTCGACGTGCACATGGATACCGTGTATGTCGAATTCTTAAAAACGCGGCAAGCAGTTTGCGATTCTGCACTTTCTCCCAATTTCGCACCTAATCTTTGTCATGATTAAGCATTTTTGTTCCAAATAAAGTTCTAGTATAAGCGTAATTCGGCCGAAGTCGCCAATTGTTGGAAAAAATGTTGAGTAAAAAAAAAAAAAAGCCTTACCTTGTGAAAAACAAATGCATGCCGTCCCCCCCTGTTTTGCTTGTACAGCAGAGTTGGTCGCCAAATTTTCGCCAAAAAATCACCAAGTTACCATAATGTAAAGATTCACCGAACAGACTATTTTTCTGTTATAGCATATGGATATATATGTAGAAGAAATTTTGTGTTTGTATATAATTTAAACACTTTTGAATATGAATTTTTGTTTCTTAATATAATATACAGAAGTAATGCATGCAGATATTTAATATGATATCCCTTCTTTCTGATTTAAGTATCGTACCATTCTTTTCAACATAAATAGTCAAGTAACTGAATTTTTAAGGATTTCTCAATTGTGTTGAATTAAAATTTTTTTTTTTGTTTGTTTTTGTTTTCATTTTTTTTTTTAAAAAAAATATAGTCTTAACCCCTTAACTGGTTTGCCTGTACAGTGTACGGGCTACTAATACTTGGCCACAAACCATCTTTTTAATTTGGTCCCCCCATTTTTTTAGCCTTTTTTCCCTTTAGTATTAACATATTTCAGCAGATGGTGCAGCTTGTCCATGTCATTGAAAAGTATTCAAACTGGTTTTTTCCTTTGTTACCAAAGTCTGCAATACTTTGCATTGTTTGTTCTTGGTATTTTTGTTGTACAGTTTTCTGATTGTGAATTCAAAGCATCTCAGTTATGGATGATATAATTGACAATAAAACTTTATTGTTAGATGTTTCTGATAATTCTGATACAAATTCAGAACTGTCTTGTAATATTCTGGATTATTCTTCAGCTTACTCGTATAGTGAGTTCAGCTCTGATGAAGATTTGATTTCTGATAGAAATTTTATCGAAACTGATGTGGAAAATCCACCTCCTCCATGTGCCCGGTTTAATTTTACTGGTATTCCAGCTGTAAATGTACAATTTGATTATAGTTTTAATGAGCTACAGTTTTATGAAACATTTATTGATTTTTCTCTAATGACTAAAATTGTAGAAGAAACAAATAAATGCAAAACAGTGCATCCAATTAAGCATTGCTGGAAAATTCTTAAAAAGTAAATTTTGGGAAGAAATGACTGTGGAAGAGATGTATATATTTTTTGCCCTCACTATGCTCCAGGGAATTATAAAAAAACCTGGAATTGATCAGTACTGGAGCAAAAGACATTCCACATACACACCCTTTTTTTATCAAATAATGTTTCATGTCGATTTCTTCTTTTGCAATGGTACTTACATTTTTCAGGTAATTCAATATTTGATGCTCAAAATCTCGAATGCCCACAATTGTGAATTTATGGCCAGTTTATAAATATCTGAATGAGAAGTTTCGTTCAATGGTGAAACCAGAACGTGATGTAACGATAGATGAAAGCCTTATGCTTTTCAAAGGAAGATTAGGGTGGAAGCAATTTATTCCTCTAAAAAGAGCAAGTTTCGGAATAAAATGTTTCATGTTGTGTGAGTCGATTTCTGGTTATGTGTGTTCTATAATAATATATACAGGTAAAGACACTATTCTGAACCCAGAGTTTTCTAATCTATGTATTTCCTCACAAGTTGTTATGATAATGATGCAGCCTTTACTTCATAAAGGGTACTGTCTTACAACAGTAATTATTATTCTTCACCAAAATTAGCTGACAAATTAATTTCTTGTCGAACTGATACATATGGCACTCTGAACCTAAACAGAAAAGAAGTCCCAAATGAAATGCAGAAGAAAAAACTAAAAGTAGGAGAAATTATAGCCTTCCAGAAAGAAAAAGTTACTGTGATGAAGTGAATGGACCGAAAAAAAAAAATGCTTTATTACTGTCAACAATACACAATACTGAAAAGGTATAAATCCAAGTCTGCTCTGAAATGAAACGAAAACCAAAAATTGTTATAGATTATAACAACACAATGGGAGGAGTAGATCGCATGACCAAAATTTTGGTCATTAGAAAGAGAGGGAAAAAATATTACAGAAAATTTCTTTTCCACATTTTTAATATTGCCATATGGAACTCATATGTCATCCATTGTAAGAAAGGAGGAAGAAAGTTCAGTTACAGTTCAGACTTGATCTTGTTGACAGAATTATTGAGAAATATAATTCTGGAATGAATCTCAAATGTGGACGACCTGCTTCTGAGCCTAATCCTCTGAGACTGACAGAAAGACAATTCATAGAAGTTATTGCTCCTACAGAGAAGAAACTAAGATCTGCCAGACAATGTGCTATTGGCTGTTTCCAAAGGAATGAAAATGGAAAGAGAATTCGAAAGGAAACATGATATTTCTGTCCTGATTGTGATGTAGGACTTTGCCTAACACCGTGTTTCAAACTGTACCACACAAAAAAGGAAACGGTATTGAAAAGTATGAATTTTTAATATATGGTAAGTTTTTTTTTTAGATAATTGTTCATGAGATCTCTAATACAGTCTTCATTACATGTACTCTGTGATTGCAAAAAGCAAACAAATAGGGGCATAAATGTTAGAAATATATAAAATTTAAAAAATGTTTAAATTCATTAATTATGAAAATTTAAAAAGAATTCTTTCATTTTTCTTATATAACAAGTTTAGAATTCAGTTATATGTAATAAAAAATATGCTTTTTTATGAACGTTTCTGGTAAAAAATTGACCAGTTAAGGGGTTTAAATAATATGTTAGGAATTAAACTAAAGTGATTAAGTCGTATGAGAGGAAAGTCTTTAACCCTTTTGGGATTGGCATACCAGTCACTGAACCACTTTCTTAAGATGGCATACGAACAGGATGCACTGTCGTGTTGGGACAGGTAATTAGTACTGCTAAACCTAACTTTTGGAAAAAAAATTCGTATGATTCAATTTGGGGTCCAATTATTCCAATTTTTATTATGTTATGTGAGGAACACTCACTCAGTTGTCAGAATTAATTTGAAAACTTAGTAGTTTCTGTGCCATTTGAAGTATAAAAATGTTTACTAAACAATGCACAAAATATTTGCCTCAACATTAGCCAAACTCTAAGAGGAATGAATAAAACCTCTAAAACAATAGAACATATATTGCCATATTGTAATAATAAAAAAAAATGAATTCAGAAGCATCGAGAACATCTTCATGTGTTGATATCAGCTGACACAATTAACAAACATCTGTGTTTATTTACATTACTCAACTCACAATTTCAACTTTGATTCTGAAACAAAGTACTGAAAATAAAAAATATCTTGATGGTCTTGAGGTCAACATTCTCCACTCTTGATAAATTCTACCATGACTGAAATAGGACTGCATTTAATGGAAAAAAAAATTAATTAGACGTTCTATCTAAAGATTCGTATGTGGTATACGTGTCCTGACAGTGCATTTAAACAGTGGTTCATATATGATGCACACAGTTCTGTGATACATTTGGTGGCCAATGTATGTATGTGATGCACCCATCTTGAAAGGCTTAAGAAACAGTAAAAAAGTGGAAATGTAATCTTTTGTATGTAAAGATTTAGGTGATAATTGTATATTGAAGAATGTGTTAAGAAATATTTTTTGATGATGTGAGTGCATACATGTGTGTTAGTTTAATTAGAATAAGTGGAGTATATTTTGAGGTGATTTATCTCAGATATTTCGATCATCGAGGAAGATATTTCAAATCTAAATGTGCTGTCTTCTAATTATATTATTACTGCTGATACAGAGTCATCTTTATTAATTTTTAATTAATAAAGGATTAAGAAGGAATTAATAATTAATTAATTAAGGATTTTTAATTATGGTCTGTTTTACTTGCGTTGCATAATTCTAGCTTGTGTTAAGGCATATTTTTTTTTCATTGCAGTGCTAAGAATGAAGACCATAAAAGTTCATTTTTGTCATATTAGGCTCTTTTATTTTAGAAAAGGAAAAAATACTAGTTAGACTACTCATAAAATTTGTATATATGGATCAAAGGGCTGTTTCTGATAACACAGTTCAAAGCGGCTTGAGAAATTTAATTTGTGGAAATTTCAGCCTGGAAGATAATGCCCATTCTGGATGACTATCCTTTATTAACAAAGACCTATTCAAAGAAGTTATAACTTAAAATCTGCAGTATAAAGTTCAGAAATTATCAGACAGACTATACATTCCAAAAAATACAGTATATGATCATTTGAAAAAGCTACTATGATTAGGCACTTCATTTTTTAACTGAGCAGAATATGGTTGCTTGAGTTTCACCATGTGAGTCTTTGCTGAAAAAGAATAAAGAAGCTTATTGAAATGACACATTACTGTAAATGAGAAGTTGGTACTGTATAGTAATCTCTCAAGATAGAGGTAAGCCAAATGAACCTCTTCTAAAAACATCGAGAGAGAGGCTATATCTCCAAAAAGCAATGCTTTGTATATGATAGGGTTATAAATGGATTATATTATGAAATGTTGCCACCAAATCAGATTATAAATTCAGAAAAATAAATTTCCCACATGCCAGTTTTAAAAGCAGAAATCAAAGAAAAGTGCCCCGAACTGATGAATTGTTGAGGTGTTTCTTCCATCATATGCCAATGTTCGGACCCTTATTTTGATGAAAGTCAGACTTATTGAGTATGACTGTAATGTTTTGTGTTTTCCTTGTTAGAAATCCAGCTAACGTATTTTTCCCCTCACTAAAATGTGCAATGGGCTCTAGGAATTAAAATATATATATATGTATTTTGTTGCTGCCTTGCTTGCAAACATTTTTTTAATTAGTTTCTTCTTCATTCTGCTATAAGTATGTAAGAAATATCAAGGTAGGCTGTTCGGGCCCTCTTTTTATTTTGACAGCCACTAGCAGATCAACATGACATACAGTATTCTGTGATATTCCAGAACAGCTGCTAAATATATATTTTCATTCAGTGCTTAGGTGATTTTTACATTCTTATTATTTGTTATTATATTTTACTATTATTTGTGGAATGATTTGAACCCAAAACTAAACTAGAATAGAGAGGTATCTAGAATGACTGAAAGAATAGCTGAGCACCTGAGTCTCTTAAAAAGAATTGCTTGCATGAAATGGGGATCTTTTGAGGATGTACTTATCACAACTTACATCTTTTGCATCCATCCATTTCTTGACTGTGGTGCAGAATTACTTATAACAGCATCTGATTCCACTCTACAAAGACTGAATATTGTCCAAAACCATGCATTTCGGCTCATTACTGGTGCAGCTTTTGCGCCTGTGGCAGCCATGGAACTGCAGATTGGCCTACCTAATTTGGATGATCACTGCTTGATGGCTGCTTGGACTATGTGTTAAAGGTTCCTTCGCAAATACACCTTTTAGCCTATGTTCCAGCTCAATTTAGACTTAAGACACAAAATTCTTTTCATGTGATGCTTGATCAACTATCAAGAAATATGGAGCTTCCCTTAAAATCGTTTGACTATTTTTCAACCTTATACCTTTCCAGGCTTTTTGCATTATGCGAGAGCAGCTTTTGACTTAGTTATTAACAGTAAAAAGAGTTTTCTCCATGTTGAACTTAAAACTCTAGCACTGTCTACTATGTGTTAGAGATCTCCTACAGCGTATTGGACTCGTATCTATACTGATGACTTTGCGATGGCTGGAGGGGCTGGTGCTAATGTCTTTTCAGAATTATATTTCAACTGAGGCAGTTGGACACTTTTGTGAGAACTTTGATGCTGAATTGCATGCTATTTGGATGCCCCTCTATGCCATTAACCCCTTCGTGACAGCATGTTGCTGAAAGGAAAAACTTTTTGGAAACGAGTGTGTCACATAGGCATCAGTCCCAAATGTAACTAGCAGCCCGGTGAGGTACTATTGCATAGCTGCTTGCATTGATCTTCCAGGCAGGTGTATCATACATGTATTCTCAAACTTGCACATTCTTTTATAATTTTTTTAAATCACTAGATGATGCTTTAAGTCAACTACGGTTAGCTAATTTAAACATATACATTGTTGACTTTGTGTCCTTGAAGTGCTTTCTGTTTCTAATGATTCTTTTAGATGTATGAGTGGAAAATATAAAAGATATAAAATAAACAAAATGCAGCTGACCCACAATTGAGGCTTCATGGGATATAAACATTGGCCAGTTTCCAATGCTTCAATTTTTTTTTGCCCATGGGAAAACTGGGAATGGAGCTGTGGTTTTAGCAACACCCATCTGTATTCAGTTTGCATCTTCTTTAGCTAGCAGACATAAGCTTTTTTCTACCGGTTAAGATAATTAAACCGATGCTGCGATGTCTAAGAAAAAGAAGTTTTTAATGGAAGAGGAGTATATTTGAATTGTAAACGAGCCCTTTTTGACACTTAAATCTAAAGTGAGGATAGTGATTTGGATACCAAAATTTTGTCAGAGATTAAATTAGAAGCTTATTTTGCTTTCATGTCACAATCCAGCACAACAGTGGATGCTCCATTATGAACTCAATCTTTGAAGCCTCATGAATTTATGGGAATTGCAGAAGTAAATTTAATTAAAAGTTATGCGAATGAAATTGATTTCTCACCATTTTTTTTATAATGATCTAATGAACATAATAGTTGAAGAAACTAATAATTTCTATGAACAAAAGATAAATGAAAATCCATCTTCATCCAAAATCAACATACTCCTGTAGATTTGCCTAAAATAAGGGGATTCCTAGACTTAACCTTAAGATGTATTTCACAACTGAAGAAATGCTAGCAACTAGAGTATCAAACACTGCTTCCTTTCTGAATCATTTATACTTTAATAGTTAATCATGTATTTTATTATTTTTTACATACATTTAGATATAGACTTTGGTATGTTTTGTACAACATTTCATCAAGATGAGTCAAATATTTTATTTTTCATTTAAATTTTGATTAATTTTTCAGAATCTCTCGATATTCTGTATTTAACATTTATTAATTTTTTTAAAGTTCAGCACGAAAATACCCCATCCTGCCAGATCATATGACTACAACAACGCACTGTTTCCAAGATAAATTGTGCTAAGTAGTGCGCCGTAGTGTAAGAGGATTAATTATTGATGCATTTATGATACACCTGTGAAGGGCTTAAAAATACAGCTGATAAAAATATTGTTCTGTTTGTTGATTCTTAGACTGCCATTCAAACTGTTACAGGTTATATTGACCTTACATTCAATGAGTTTGAGTGCAGATTACTGATTAGCTCTCTAATTGAGTCAGGAAGGAATGCTTTGTAATGGGTTCCTTATTGTAGCGATATACCTGGCAATGAGCAGGCACTCCTGGCAGTGAGCTTGCTAAGGAGAGTTGTAGTTTTAATTAACCTGAATTACATGTTCCTCTTAGAAACATCAAATGGACTATTAGAAGAGTGCATCTATAAATCTAGACTCTGTCATTACAGGAATGTTTTAGCTGTGAAGAATTGGTGTTCCTTATTGGACAAACAGATCTGTGTTTCTCTGCCAAGAGCTATTAGTGTGGCTCCCTTCAACATGATTACTTACAGGCTCATCTTTTTAGATTTTGACTTGCTGACTCCCCAGACTGTGTGCTATGTGCCCCTCTGCTCCAATGACTGGACAGTGTCTTTTTTTCTTGTACTGCTCTGTGAGATGTTCTTTCTTTGAACTTCTTTATGACTCTCCCAACTATAGGGGCAATTTCTTTTATTGGACTGCAAGGCACCACATGCTCGAAAGTATCCAGGTGGCTGCAATTAAAAAAAAGTTATTTGAATGTTTTAAACATGTTAACATGAATTTTTTGCTTGAGATAAGTATATAAGGAAAAGTTGCTAGCTCTGAAGAATGCCATGAACAGCTTGTGTCATAACTTCAGAAGGTTATTCTTCACTTAAAAATTTACCTGAGCAAGTCATCTGTGCCATCTTCAAAAAATTTGTCTGAACCATTAAATTGTGGCCTTATTGGGTCAGAATTATTGATATTTTATATTGATAGTAAAATTTCACAATTCTCAAATGTAAATTTTTCTATGGTTAATCTGTAAGATCTAATTTATAAAATATGTATAGGAAAAAAATAACAAATTAATTAAAAACTTAATAATCAACTTCTTTTGTAACGTTTGGCCTGCTTTGTATAGTCCTTTAATATAATCTTAAAATGTGGGAACCAATTATTTGTCAGCGATTTCACAAGCATTTTTAATATAAGATTCTCTTCTTTAAAGAACAAATCTTTCCCTATAAAAAATGTGGATATTTTCCTCAGAAATCTCATCCAGATCTGACCACCGATGGCTAAATCATTGGCAATTTAAATTCTGTTTCTGTTTTTTAATTATAATTTCCATTAATGAATCATATTTACTGTCTTCAAAATTATAATCCTTGTCTTCAGAATTGCCATCTTTAGTTGTTGTGTTTTTCATCAGACTAGATTTTATTCATGTTATTAAAGCAACAAAGATGTTAATAGAATGCAAGTGATAGAAAAATACAGTCATCAGTTAATCAGAGATTAAAATAAAAAAAATTGCAGATATGGTCTGCACTTGTCCCCAAACCTGAATGCTTGGGATAGCTTGATACTTAATCTCAAAAATGGAAAGATCACTAATTAGTTTATAAGTGAGTAAATTTAAGGGAGTAGTGCAAGGGCAAAATTTGGTGAGAAAGATGAACCTAGAATTGATAGACTAGAAAAATTTTAATATCGCTAAATTAAGCACATTGTGAAGTCAATATGTGAGCATATTCTGACTTCCCAGGAATTAGTCTACTGCAGTGACTGCTAGTCATAGGAGCAGATATTTCCTGTTGATAGCAGGAATGAGTAAGTATTTTTGTAGAAATTATGATGCACTTACACACTTGTTTCAATTCATTTTAATTTTTAATACATACTTGATAATTATAATAATGCGCAGGCATTAAAATTCTATACTTTTTATGAAAACCAAGAATTTACTCCCTGTTTCAGGAAAAGGTTGATGAGGAAGCCTTAAAATCTGCTGATAAAGAGCAGCTTGAGCAGCAAACTTTATTGATCCAGCAGTTGAAAGATTTGCTAAGAGAAAATGAGACACGTTACCAAGACAAAGAGAAAGAGTTAGAAGTAAAGCTTATCTTAGTAAATTATATGGAATTATTTATATGATTTAATCTCATTTTATAATTTTTATTGGTAGTTTATTTTTGGTTGTAAGTGAAGAATAAAATGATATAAGACATGCATTAAATTGTTCAAATGAAAATTGGTATAAATAAATTAAGATTGATATGTATAAGTAAATTAATTAAAGTCAGTGTTATTCCTAGGATTTTTTTGAAAGAGTAAAAATACTCCTTGACTTTTTTAGGAGGAGTGAAACACGGAAATAGCATAAACTACATGTACAGAGACAAATTTCCTATAAAAAAAACTTTTTTAATGGACAAAATGAAATAAAAAAAAACGAGGATGCTATTTTGGTTTTTGACAATTATAGCATATGTTCAGTATTAGTAGACAATATTAAACATTACAAATAAAAGAATTTATTTTGCATTAAACATTCTAAATGAAATATTTATTTAATATTACAAATTTAATATCCTTTTCCTCTGATTTTTCCACAATGTTAAGCTGATTTCCTTACAACATCAAAACTCTTTCAAAATTAAAGTTACAAAAAACATTTATTCTTGGTTACATTACAATTTTAATTTCTTTTCCCCCTGATTTCCTTACAATATCACAGCTCTTTCACAAAAAACAATTTTCCTTGGAACTACTAAAAGTCACAAAAAAACATTTTTCCTTGGTTATATTACAATTCTAACCTCCTTTTTCTCTGATTTTTCTACAAGACAAGGTTACTGCTCTTTCAAAATTAAAATCACAAAAAACATTTTCCTTTTTTCCCCCCTCTGGGCCTTGAAATCTGGCGTGCTCAGATATTTCGTAGAATTTCCAGTTGTTTTTTCCCCCAATCTATTTTTTTCTCCTATTTGATTGATCCCTATTTTATTTTTGAGTAGAAAATCCTCTTTCATAAACAGCCGTTGACAAAGGTATAAGTTTAACACGGCTATTTGTGCCAGGGCTGTAAATGCTAGATATAAGAGTTCACCATCTAAACTTGATGAGAACAACAAATTGGCAAACTGTTTAAATTTGAATTCTCTGTAGCATGCATAAAAACACTACTTCAAGGTGCCCTTGCTTTAATTCTTCTGCTGAAACACCCAAAACCGAAGTAGAATCTGGCCTATAATAATGTTTAATAACATTATCTAGAGACTCCACTCTTGATAATACTGTTCCAATCTGACACAAGAGGGATTCAACAAAACATCAAAATTCTGCAAAATATGCATCTGCTGCAAATTAAATCTTTCCTGCAGATTCTCTATCAGTGCACTCAAGAAAGCAGTTTTAGCACTCATGAAATCATTTAAAGATTTAGTAGAAACAGATAATTTAATATTTTGAACTCGATAATACCCATTTTTAAGAGAAGACTCTAAAATTTCCTTTAGACGAGTGCCATGACCTTCCTCCTTTTTCATTTCCTGCATGCAATTAATAGTTGATTCTAGACTATTAACCTACACAGAGAAGTTCACATCATTGCTCTGAAAAATTCTTCTGTTTTTGTTCATAATCAGTAACACATCTCTCAAAAATAACAAGGTGGCTGCAAATGAAAATTGTGAGCATTGTTTTAAGTAGTCCTGAGCCTTTATTGCTTGTTTTTCTGTTTGTGATTATGTCTGTCAGTGTAAGGATCACAGCATCATAATTGATATGATATGCATCAACTGCATTCCCAAGTGACAACCACCAACAACATTTATGTCTTTGAGAGTTATGTTTGGCTCATTTAACACATCTTGCATCAATTTCAGCTTTTCAATCCTAATATTGGAAGCGAGAAAATAAGCATACAATGAACCTAAAATTCTCTGGCAGCTTTGAAATAGGGATATTCCATCAGCAGCTTGGGAAACAGCTAAAGCTAAACGATGAACTGTGCAGTCATAGTGCAACAAACCAAGTATCATATCCTGAAATTTTTTGCCAAGTCCGTTGTTTTTTTTTTTTTTTTTTTTTTTTTTTTTTTTTTTCCCCTATTATAACAGCCAGCACCATCTGTTGAAAGGCCAACGACTTTTTTTGATAACGGTTTTTTTTTTTTTTTTTTTTTTTTTTTTTTTGTTTTTGTGAGAAACTTTATTATTATTTCTTTCGTGCATTGCATTGCAATTCACCCGATAGTTTTTTAAATTTGGCCAAAGACTGTTCTGGACTTTCATTGTTTTTCAAATATTTCACATATATAATTAATTTATGGTCAACTGAAATATCTGTTGATTCGTCTATCATTAAAGAAATACAGGGGCTTTGTGAAACATCCTCATCGAAATTTGAATCTAATACTTCCAAAATAGCTTCAGTTATGTCTGTAACTGAATTTTGAGATAAATTCTTATGAGCCTCTTTCACAGTCTCATTTCCATAGGATTTCATAAGCATCATTAAAGGCTTAAATTTCGTTAAAGGAAATTCTTATTCTCCAATAGTGTAAACAGTTTTGAACATTGCCAAATCGCCATCTGTTGCTGTAGATTTTTCCTATTCGATGATATTTTTAAGAGCTTTAGCATCTTTCTTGGCATTTAAAGAAAGCCTGTGTTCCGTAGTTTTTTTGTTTTTTGTGGCGAAGACAGAAGTACTTCTTTGGAAACATGATGAACCCCATCACACCCACGCCATTCTTCATACTGGCAGATTGACATGTTTCACAAAACATTTTATTTTCCTCTTTATTGAAGAGGACCCAAGGAAATTAAGCCACTTACTTAAAAACTTATCATGTTTAGAAGTTTCTTCTGGTTGTTCATCAATCTTTGGTTTCTTAGCCCACGGTTCTGAGCTGGTTGACTCACTGGTTGACTGGCTTGCCAGCATTTTTATAAAAAACTCCTTGATGGATTTAGAACTCATATTTCAATATTTAAATTAATTTTTCTTCTGGAATAATAAATTAATTTAATAATAATTCAGTCTCAAGAGGACCCCCTATTGAATTAAATAGTTTAAAAAAATTAACTAGTTAGAAGCTAAAAAATATTTTTGATGTGCTTCTCCCAAAAGCTGATCACTTGTAGCAACTTTCGTTTCGTTTTGCAGACTGTATGGAGTTTCTTAAATTTAAAATTTTCTTCATATGTGATCTTAATTTCGCTTAAAATATTAATTTTTATATGAAACGAATTTATCTTATAATCGCGAATACAAATTACAATCGTTTTAAGAGCGACATTTAGTTAAAATCAGTAATGAGTTTGGCGATCTCGCTCCATCAAATTAAAACAATAATAATAGTAAAAATTATACTTCTCTCCTACAGAATATTTCAAGAAAACAGGTATTTACAGCAGGGTTTGTACAATCTGAAAAAGTACTTATTTTTGCCCCAAAATCGTTAAAATCTCAAAATTTATGCAAAATACTGATTTTTGAATAGATAGATGTTAGCTAAATATCGATTTTCGCATGGGGTGACTCCTTGACGAATTAATTTCATATAACCAGAAAGTTAAGTCCCGATTTGCCCACTAGAAGATCAAAAGGAGATGTCTATTTATCACAGCTGACAATTATGGATGCGATTGCAATTTTTGTACCGAAAAACGTGATAAAATTGCTATTTTTTTAAACGAAATGATAGCATTAAAGCACCCAGATTTGCGCTGTAAGACTAGTGAAGATAATGATTTTTTAAAAAGAAGATTGGAATTAAAATTTTATTTTTGCACTGGTAGTTCTTGGTAAAATTTCGACTGTTTTCTGACTAGTGCCGAATAGTGAAAGAATTAAAAATGCAAACTCTATAAGCATAAAAATAATTTAAAGGCATATTAGAAACCATGCTAGAAAAATTTAAAAAAACCTAATTACCTTTATATATGCTTTTAGTTTGCTTTTAATTTTCTGAAAAGTGTGCAAAAGATTTTTCCAGCTCCTAATTTGAAATTTCACCGAACTCCCAAACCACGTGTGTCAATAACCAATTTTACTATTCGAATGACCATCCAGTAATATGGAATGCGTGATGAAATCAGTGCTCGTAAATATACAATGAAATTTTAATTTCTTTCTTCTATCCTCTGGTCGTGATAGGTAAGTCAGCACGGCGCCGCACAGTGCCATGCCTATATTCCTTGTCGCGGAGAAGTCAGGCGAAAATGTCTCAGGGGTGCTTTGAGTAGAAAAAAATATTATTTGTTAATTTCGGTGGGGCACTATGTATTTTTTAAACTAAACCTTTGTTAAAAATTCAGTGCATGAAAATACACCTTTTAAAGCGTATTTCCGATTTTCAATGCGTGAAATATGCTCTCAGAGGCATTAAAAATATCTTTTATTAAAATGTATGCATAAAAATTATCAAATAAAAGTGTTTAAAAGGGATATACAGTATTCATTCATATTATAACCACTTTGTAGTATCTAAGATAGGCAACTTTTACAGCAAACAGTGCTGATTAACAAGCTGGTGAAAATTATAAAATTCACTAAAAATTACAACAGATGTCTGTGACTGTACTGATTATAGTACATTCTGCAAATACTGTATATTTCTTGTTAAAATGTCTGTCATTTTAATGTGTCAATTGCAGTGATATCATCAGTGGGATAGCTTTGGTTTTATGACATTAGATGTTGTGATGTTGATAGACATTATTACCTTCCATGAACACAACTGTCATATGCAGTTGTATCTGAGCTGTAATAACTGAAAGACAACCATTTGCATTCGGGTTGCTTTATAGAAGAGTACCGTGAATATATGTCCCAGACTGTAATACTACATGCACATTGCTACATTTTTAGGTACATATTGTCGATTTGTTCTGAAAGATTTCATATTCAATGTACCACCGCCAACTATTTACTGTATAGAACAAAACCATGATTCATTGTAGGAAAGCCACTCTTTGCTATTTAACCAAACGGGACAAATTGATACTATTGTTTGCAAAACCTGCACATTAATTTGAGGAGTGTAACCAAGCATTTGCTTGAAAGACCAATATACAGTCAAATTAGAGACTTTTCTGGTGACCTGTTGGCTCATTTAATATGCTAGTTGATTTAAGTTGATTTATAATAGTTCACTAACCAGGTTTGACCATCCAGTATTTTTCCTCCCTTTGTATTATA